ATGTTAAAGTGTTTAGCCATAGGAGTTTTTAATGTGAAACCAGTGTCTGTACCTTTGGATTTAATGTGAAAGGAGTGGACAAGCAAGTTAAAGTCCTAAATCACAATAAGTTCTTTGGTTGTGATAATGGAAGGTTTGTAATTGTTAAAACGTTCTTTTAAAGTTCTGGTAGTTTGTCCCAAATATTAGTAGTTGCATTTACGATAGTGGTTCACATAAACATCGTATTTATTGGTGCAGCTTGTGCGTTTTGTGATTTCGTGTTCTTTTTGGTTGTCTTTAATAGAGAACTGGTGTGTATGTTACATAAACATGCAGATTTGGCAACGTTTGCTGTTGAAGGGGTAGCTTTCTTCTGATTGCGTGGGAAGGGAATTAAAGTTTACAGTAAGTGGGATTTTAAAGTTTTGTTTTTATTCTTGAAGAAGATTAGTCAACTATTCGAAAGCATTCGAGGTTGTTGGTCTTTGGAAATCTACTTTTTTTTTGGTCATCCTTTTGTTCTAATTCTTTCATCATGGTTTATTTTTTGTTGTAACACAAACTTCTCACATAAGCAGTCCCTTGGATTCCAAATTTGTAATGTAAAATATGATTAATCATTTAAATGCGAATTAGCTAAGTTGTCTCCAAGTGTCTGTGTTGAGAGATTTGATACAAGGAATTTGAAGTCGGTAAATTTTTAGTGGAAAACTAAAGACATTTGCCAACAAACCATTGTGGGCAAGAAGGTATAATTAGAGTAAAAATCCTATGTCTTTATAAAGAATAGAATTCGTTCTTATTGTATATCCTATACATATGAATTTATTTAGATGTTTTGCTACCATCATTACGTTTTGAACAGTTCAGTATAATAAGTAACTTTCGTGAAGTTATACAGTTTAATAGATGAAAGTTGGTTATCTTATAAAAGTTGTTATTCGTTCTACCAGGTTTCCTTTAGTTTTGTATCCAATCAAGGCCTTGATATCAGTTATATTACGGTAATAAAAGACCCAACAATGTATTGAAGTGCCAGAGAATACCTAGAACTCAATATGAATGATGTGATGTATAAGTGAACGGACTTCAACACAAAGACTACATGTTAAAAAAAAGGTCAATAAATGTTTATAAGCACTGAAAGATTTGTGCGATTGTTTCCGATGGTTCAACAGCTTAATATGTTCATACTTTCTGCATAATTTTACATACCACACCAGAAACACGTGACTTATAACAGATATGTTTTACTTACGACACCAGAAACATGTGACTTACAACAGATGTGTTTTACTTACCACACCAGAAACACGTGACTTACAACAGATGTGTTTTACTTACCACACCAGAAACACGTGACTTGCAACAGATGTGTTTGACATACCACACCAGAAACACGTGACTTACAACAGATATGTTTTACTTACCACACCAGAAACACGTGACTTACAACAGATGTGTTTTACTTACCACACCAGAAACACGTGACTTGCAACAGATGTGTTTTACATACCACACCAGAAACACGTGACTTACAACAGATGTATTTAACAGTAAAGTGCTTCAAACACAGTGTGTGTCCAATAATTCTGATACGATTGGTGCTTTTAATATTTCAAATATTTCAAGAATTATTACAGAAAAACACTTTTCATCCAATTTGATACATACTTTGTGATTAATTTAATGTTTTTGCTTGTATTTCATTTTAAACAGCTGTTTTAGGATACTCAGTCTTGTGACAGAAATCAAGTCTCCTGTTTATTGCTTTCAAAGTTTGACACATTAACACGGACATACATACCAATAAATAAATATAAAGTTAATGTAATCGCTTCGCTTAGATTGTTATGTAATATATTTCTTGAAGTAGTAACTTAAATGAAATTAAAACTTCAGATTTACTTTTAAATATTTGGAGGTCGGTTCTTAGGTATATATTTTGATTTTGCATTGCATTTAGAAAGTTTCCAAATACTTCTGGTGTGTTTTCCGCATTCGATTTTTAGCCACCCTTGCTTTCTTGCATGTACTCACTTCCAATCGACGTGACGTTACTTACGTTCATTGGTATCATTTTAAAAGGCCTTCAGTGGCTCAGCGCTAAAACTCGAGTTTCGATACCCGTGGTAGGTAGAGCACATTGTGCAGTTCTGTGTTTAACAACAACCAAAACAATCATTTCAAAATTATTATAAAATTATTTATTGCCCGACACTGAAGATAGAGGGCAGGGTAAACATTTATTTGTCTGCGTTATAGATATTTATAATTACGCAAGAATTCCGTGTACTATGTATGGGTTGGAGATCGTAATGTATAAGCTGAAGGTAACACACGTTGTTTCTAATTCAGGAATGACCTTCCAAAGAAGAAACTCGCATATTTCATTATATCAATTCTATGAACATATAATACCACTGATTTACTTTCCATTATTTGAAGATGCCGTTATGTTTTTTGTATTCTTCTTTTCCATAATTATCACAGTAGCTTTTCAAGCATGCAGTATATAATCAACATAATTTATCAGTATGCACGTGCAAACATTTTAACAAAACATGCGACCAGTTAATTTTCAAGTTTGAAAAAAAAAAGAAGTTTTTAGATGATTCTCGTTAAGAGCTTTCGGTGAAACTCGTCGTTCCCATGGCAACAAAGACCTACGTTATCAACGTTCTTTCCTAGCGGCCAGAAAAGAACGGAGGGTGCCAGGATTCCAGCAGTACCCACTACTCTTCCTGCAGAACTAATCATTTGAACGAGCGTTCGGACACTGTATTGGACTGTGTGTGTGTGGAGCTACTGTAATTCAATTTAACTATAAAAGAAGTGTTATTTTTAACATTTCCAAGTTTGTAACAACCTGTGTGTGTTTTCTTATAATCAGTGGTGAGTTAATTTGTTTACATTACAATTTTTTTAAATAGAAGGGTATAAAGTCTGCTTTATAGATATTACGTCTCTCTTTCTTTTGTTTCGTAAGTTCATAAATATGTTAAGTGTGGAATAAGTCATATCTGTGCTGCCTGCTGAATCTGTCTTGATTTACAGATAGATTATTAAAAACCGGACAAAACTGCGATGCTCGTTAACTAGCTTATACATCTAAGATAATAGTTTTGTTTGTTATTAAGCCCAGAGATATATAATGAGCTATCTATGCTGTGCTCATCACGGTAATCAAACCCGGTTTTTTAGAGTTATAAGCAATATAAGCAAAAATAAATAAATATACTATAAATATTGTAATCTCATGCACTAATTACTGTTTAGGTCCCATGTGTATTTTACATAGAAAATGAGTGATTTCGCTCAAGTTATTTTTGTCGGTTCTTTACACTGAGTGTTGTAACACCCAAAAACATACAATTACTCAACATAATGAAATATGTAGACTGGGTTAGTGAACGGTATAAAAAAAGTTAAGGGTTAACGGTTGGGAATGTCATTCAGGAAACGTTTCTTTCATTTCTAAAGGTTCTCAGTTTTAAGTTTTTAACTCTCCTCTTTTGAGCACTTATAAATGACTTTAATTTATGACTAATATTACACCTGTATAATTATATTAAAAAAAACTTCACGTAATCGCAACTCAACCTAAAAGTTAGTTTCAGATAAATATTTTTAACATTCCAAGTTTAATTTTGTTGTGGTCATTATGAAGTGAACTTTTAGAGACAAGTAGGCGAGGTGGGGAGAGTGGTTAACATGTAATTCGAGGATTCACTGATTCCAATCCGTTCCCATAAAAACATACTCTGTATTTTGGGGCATGGGTACGCTATAAGGTGAAGATCATATCCCAATATTCGAGCAGATAAGAGTTGTCCCGGAATTGGCAGTGAATGCTGTAGGCTAGTAGTCTTCCCTCCAGTCTACTATTATAAAATATTAGAACCGACTATGCACAGATAACCCTTGTGTAACTTTGCGCGAAAGTCTGAAACAAATTAGTGACAAGCAAATTTGTTGTTTGTATATAATGTTCGTTTCCTCAACTTACTAAAACATTGATCAGCATCCCAGTTCATCCGTTTTTCTCACTTACACTAGAGGGGGGGGGGGGATAAAGGGCACGGAAGGCCTGAGAATAGTTATTCTATCCCCATGATCCACTGACAATTCATAGAATTCAACTAGAATAATTCCTGAAATATACAAAATTCACACATGTATTAACCTGCTCCCACACCAGGCTAAGCCTTCTTCCTCTTGGTTCGTCCACGTACAATATGTTATGGTTTTATCATTTGCAAATCTGGAATAAAGCGAAAGTAAAATCGTGTTCGTGAAACTTTATTTGTTTCTCCAGGAAATGAAAAATTTACCGGTCATTAAAAACGTTAAATTATGTTTATTTGTTTTTCTTTTCATTTGTACTCCCTAGTTTACTGACTATATGACCAGTTATATTATCGTTATATTAATTTGTGAAATCTTACAAGTGTTTTGTGTAATCGTTTTGTGTAAAACCTAGGACTATTGAAATTTTTATTAATATTTATAATTAATCAGTACGCATTTGATATTAATACATTTGTTCTCTTTAAATCCAGTGTGGGAAACTATTTAAATATTTTGGTTGACCATACCGTTTTAACCGTTAACATCCTAAATGCCTAAATTAAACAGCATCTAACTAGTAAGTACGTATTATTCTAATATATCTTCACTCAACATCTGAGTTGTTTCCTATTTACATATCTATATATACCAGTAACTAAACATCATCAGCCTAACTTATAATTAGCAGAAGTAAATGCATTTTTTATTTTTTTCAGTTGCTGTACGTCCTACTTACATTGCCTTTTGAGAAATTTTTTCAACAATTCAGAACGAATGATTTAGTATTTCATAATTATGGTAACGTGACATTTTGTTTTGTCTAAACATTTATGTCTGTTGGCAAATTACAATGTGTTATGATTAAAAAAAAAAGTAGTAGATATTTTACGGAAAATGAAAATGTTATAAATTTGAAAGTTACGTAATATGTATTTTCTTCCTTTCAGGACGGCAGCTCTACCTTGTGTCTAGCGCTGAAGACCAAGACGAGGACATTCATGCAAGTAAAACTAGTCACAACGTTCCAGAGAATGACACTAGGCCAGCTGCCGAATATGACGATCCGTGGCAGTTAAGACTGGGTGTAAAGTTGGTAAAAAGGCTATCACCTTCGTTAGAAAATGGCCAGTTCCAGCTATTGAACTCTCTTTGTTATGTGCCAACCAGTGGAAATGCATTTTATGACCCAGGCAGTAGCTCTGTATTAAGTTCTGAGACCTACGACTCTGTGAACAGTGACCAAATGGTCCGACAAATGTATGAAACTGCTTTTGATTGCAGGGTAAAACGAAATGTGGAAGATATTGATCGTCTGGCTAATAGTTCAGTGTTTCATATGGAATCAATGCATTTAGAACACGGATCTTATCAAGAATCGGAATCCTCAACATCTTCCAACAGTGGTTCTTCTGGTACCACTCCTACGCGTTACCCACGATCCCTACCTCAAAAGTATCTTCATGGAAGGATCCGACAATCTCTTTCGCAGTGTGAACAGCCAGAAAAAAGAAAACTTTTTCATCTCAGAAGTAAAGCTAGTCCAAAGCCTTTCTCCAAACAAGAATGTGAGAAAAATCCTACAAATGGCGGGCGACGTCGTCAAGAACAAGATCGAAAGAACATGTCTGGTGGCCTGTTGCCATTTATTTGCAAGAAGGCCATTCGTGGTCATCTAGGTGTGAGAGTTCTTCCCATGGAACTCGGTAAACCGTTATCTAATCTTCAAGAAAAAAATTCACCCGGTATTGAAGATCTCGAGAGAAAGATTTCGAATTGTGATTTAGAAACCTCAGATCATTTTAAGGTTGTAAGATTGCAAATTAACGATGACCTAAAAAGTTCTGCCTCTTTGGTTAAAGATTCTTCTCGAAATTCTGACTCTTCAGTTAGGAAAGAGTTGGCTTACTCTAATATAGCGAAATTTCAGTGTGAAGAAAAGTACACGAGGCCTCCTGGTGACTATGAATCACCATTGAATCAGTGTGAAGAAAAGGACACGAGGCCTCCTGGTGACTATGAACCACCATGGGATCAGTGTGAAGAAAAGTTCAAGATGCCTCCTGATGACTATGAATCACCATTGAATCAGTGTGAAGAAAAGGACACGAGGCCTCCTGATGACTATGAACCACCATGGGATCAGTGTGAAGAAAATGACACGAGGCCTCCTGATGACTATGAATCACCATGGGATCAGTGTAAAGAAAATGACACGAGGCCTCCTGATGACTATGAACTACCATGGGATGCACTCAGTCCTTGTAGCAGTCTTGATGAGATTTTGTCAGCACATTATCTCTCCTCTTCTGCTAACGTGCCTAGTTTCCAGTCATGTCATTCTTTCTTTATGGGAGGTCGAAAAGATCCATCTGACCCCTCAGTTGAGCTCAGGCATTCTTGCTGTAATGAGTCATCTTTTTCCAAATCTATCACCGATGTCAATCAACAAAGTGATATAAGTAATACCAGGTCACTTGTAGACTATTGTCTTCCATGGGACTTACGAAAACATGTTGATCAACCTCAGCCATTTGCAAGCCTGAGTCATTCTGATAAAACAGGGGAACAAGACCCTATTATTCCCATCGATTCTTCTGACTTCAACAGTCCTAGCTTATCAGATTTAAGGAATTTTCATCAATGTAAAGCATCCCAATCTCATTCTGATAAAGCTTACAGTCCGAATGAAAAGAAAATTGGCTTTTCAAAGTCAACCCTAAGTGTAAAAAAAAACATAAACCTACCTTCTACACTTTCTTCCGAGTCTTACCTGCAGACTGAGTTGGTACCTTCAACAAACAGGGACATTGAAAATATACCAGGTGTGCCAAAGAGACCAATATCTCTTCCCATCCAGAATGTAGTAGCCGCATCGTCAGTGATGTCTACAACAAGGGAACAAAGTAACATAGTAAGGAAACAATTGATTTCGCAATCATCAGTTAATGGTCCTAATGCAGCGTTTGTATCTGTCTCTTCATCGATGATACCTGTAACAAGGGAACAAAGCGTCAAAGTAAGCAAACAGTTTGTTTCCCAGATATCAGTTAGTGATTCTGATGCAGTCCATTCAAGCTCTTCGAAAGTATATGGTATGTTTTATTCACCAAAGAATCGTTTATTTTAAGACTCGTATACTTCTAACATTTTAATTTAAGATTATATAAAGAACGACTCAAAATGCTCAAGCATTTTTAAAGGGTGGTATTTTCTTCATCACATCAAAAGAGTGTAAAAATAAAAACATATAGGATGATATATATAGATTATTCTAAGATATTCACATTTATGTATATGTATCTGTTTGGTAAATAAGCGAAGTTATGTGTCGTGAAGAAGTAGATATGGAACTTAAATGTTATACTATAAGGTAGACTGTCTGACTGTTGGTATTCTTATTTCTTGATATTTGGCACACTCATGTTTATCTGTAAAATGCACATCCAATCTGAAAATATAATGAAATTCCACTTATATCTTGGATCAGTGTTAGTAATGTTTTGTTATATATCTTCGAGTTTTAGGGGGGTTACGTAGTATTTGAGGTTCCCAGAGAAACTTTGATATAAATTATAACCACAGAATCCTCCAATATAATAAGAACTAATGTAGGTAGGCTAAGTTATCAGTAAACTATTTGACTGTAGTCCTAAGTACCATGCACCTTAGTACATTAGCTAAACTACCAGTGAAACAACCTGAAAAGTTTATTTTAGACCCGTTGTTTCCTTGTTATCATAGCTTGTTAGATAGGTAGAATTATGCTTAACTTAAGAAAATAGTTTAACGTGATCTAGTTAAACTTGGCTCGCCATAGTAAAGAACGTCACGAGGTTCTACAATGATCCAAAATATGTCCTAATGTTGTGAAAAAAGCGAAGTAAGCTTCACTCTGTTATTACACTGTTAAGATTTTTTGTTAAGTTAGCTAAGCTGCATTATTTTTTCTTGGAAGATAAAAATTAATGTCGTTTGTATATGAGTTCTTGCACTCGATACATGTATTATTGGCTATGTCTGCTTGTACAGGGCCCTCCCCTAGACTCCACTTGAACCTCGACTTGAATACTGTGAATGTTCCTAAACATGTTCGGAAACAGGTGCTATTGCATCCAGGTTTTTCTGAAATGGGCCCATCGGTGGAAGAAGTTGATCCCTCAGTTCCGCTAGAAAAGCAAGGGTAAGTCATCGTTTGCTATAAGATTGTATTACAAAACTGTGTGATAAGACGACAGTTAAGTGCCATTCTCTGACCCTGTGTTGAAAAGACGATAGTTTATGTTCAAGTATGATATATAACAAACTATGTCTGTAGTCCAGTGAAATTAAAATTTACCAAAACATTTTATTTATTTATTTAGTTATTTTTGATAGACAAAACTTCCTTGTGAATTTATACCGAATTAAAAACAAGATCGACCAAGATATTAGGCTTTCTGTTCGGAGACTAGTGGAAACTGATATGAGCAGACGTGGCCTTCGACTACTTTGTTGTTTTGCCATGCAGCGTACGTTGGCAATATTTGGTTACGGTATCAGTGTTAACATTGGATTAAACACGAGACCAATCAGGATATTAAGCTTTAAACAAGCTGGATAATGGTGACTTAATTTGGGACCTGAGCTAATGCCACCCTACAGTTGTTTTATAGTAGGATGAATATCCAACTGTTGTTTGATTTGCGTTGAATATAAAAATCTTATTTTTAAATTTACATGTAAATTATATATTCGACCGGGAACTTTGTAAAATGTAGAGTAAAATAGATATTTCTTCATTATGTATGACTGACATATTCAGATGTTCGAAAGGACCGGACAAATTTTCGAATTGTTCGTAAACTGAGATTTGTTTTGTTTTTGTTTGTTTGTTGATTTTTTTAGGATTTTGTACGGTTTCAGAAACCTAATTCTGGAATATATATGTTAACGTCATTTTACAGAATTCACTCAGCCGCATGAAAAAAAAAAAAGTTGGCTTTTTGTGTGTGAACACCATTTCTGATATTTGGATAAAGATTACACCCGCGTTGTACGTGAACGTTTTAAACAGTAGCATTCATTTGGAATACAAGAAAAGAAATGTTATTTTGTAATAAAAACGGTAAAAAATAACTGTTGTTATGGTAGAAAGGCTAAAGAATTTGTTCTGATTTTATAGTTAAAAAACATTGTACTAAGGTATAAAAAACACTCGCCACAAATTCCTGTTCGTTTTTAATTATTTGTTTGGAATTTTCGTGAAAAGCTACACAGTGGTTATCCATCCCTAATTTTGAACTAATAGAGCGAAAGCAGCTAGTCAAGAATATTCATCGCTAGTTCTTGGCTGTTTTTGTTTAATCGAGATGTGTGAATCAATCTTCACTCTACCGGGGCCCAAAGTGCGTTTTTACGACAACGGGACGTGAACCTTTAACCCTTTTATTCACAACCCGGACACACTTGTCATCTCTGATTAAGGGGAAAATCGAGACTATCCGTGTGAGTACAGAAATGCAATATTTATTAACTTCCACAAAAGAGGAAATAAAAAGATGAGCACATAAAACAATATTTGGGTGTCAAATATAAACAGACATTTAATTTTAGACCGAATTTTCCATTTCTAACTGAGGAGTTGATTAACATTGATAATATGTCAGAATAACTGTTTCCTTTTTACTTTCACCCGGGCTGTAAGTGTGAGTTTTTCAGATGGTATCACGGCTCTATCAGAAGGATTGATGCAGAAAAGCTCCTGAGAGTCCTGAAGGAAGGGAGCTACCTGGTACGCAACAGTGAAAGCTCAAAGCAGGACTTTTCACTCTCTCTTAAGTAAGTAAATTACTTCCAATTGCTCGTAACCTGATCCTGAAGATCACGTTAGTAAAACCATTCTGGGCTCCTGTTGCAGAGGCCCTTTCTGACAGTATAGTTTCCTGTTACTTAATTAAAAACACTGAATATTTCATACATTAAGTTTGTTTGTTTGTTTTTGAATTTCGCGCAAAGCTACACGAGGGCTATCTGCGCTAGCCGTCCCTAATTTAGCAGTGTAAGACTAGAGGGAAGGCAGCTAGTCATCACCACCCACCGCCAACTCTTGGGCTACTCTTTTACCAACGAATAGTCACATTATAACGCCCCCCACGGCTGAAAGGGCGAGCATGTTTGGTGGGACGGGGATTCGAACCCGCGACCCTCAGACTGCGAGTCGAGCGCCCTAACTACCTGGCCATGCCGGGCCCATATATTAAGTAAGAAAATTCAAGTGATTTTTAATGGTGAAAAATGCCCAACTTTCGAAGCTCTTACGTGTGGCCGTTTAGTAAATTATCAAAAACCTAGACGACAGTAGCTTTAATGGTGCCATCATCATCATCAACCAAAGGTTAAATATAACAGGGAAAAAACACCAGGTTTTACAAACAAACATATTTCTGTAATCGAACGATTCGGAATTTATAGATTCTTCGATCACAAGCAATAATGGAAAATAAAATTGATATTATATAAAATATAGAAGTATTAATATACGATCCTTCATTTAGAACAAACGTATATCTAACTAATAGATCTAGGTATCTAACATTAATAAATCGGTGGAGTAGAAAAATATTAAATTAAAATATAGATAGCTGAAAGAATCTTAAGTTACTATTTAAAATTGGGGACTCATCTGTAATTGATAAACTATGATTAAAAGTGAATTTCTGATGAACCTGATGTAAGTATTTTGAAGTTCTTTATGGATGATTAACTGTTTTTTGCTGTGTATGCATATTGGAGAGTCTGGAGGATTTAAGATCATTTAATCAGTTGTGATAGATAATTCCAGATGTCAGTAGGCTTGTATATATATTTAGCATACTGTTTTGCCAATGTAGATGCTTTGCAAGCACAACTACTGTATTTGCACCCAATGGCACAGCGGTATGTCTGCGGACTTACAATGCTAGAAACCGGATTTCGATACCCGTGGTAGGCAGAGCACAGATAACCCTTTGTGTAGCATTGTGCTTAGCATCAAACAAACTACTGTATTTATAAACAACCCATGAAAACATAAGGGTAGACAGAAAATTCTGAAGAGAGTATGAATCCCAAAGTGAAAAATTATTTGTAATTTATAGTGGATAATATGTTATGACTATTTTTTTATATGGGGACCTAAAAAGAGTGCTCTGTTTTCATAAGAACGGAATGGTCAGTATTATTAGATAATTTGAAACAGTATGTGGTTTCACAGTAGGTTCTATTTTATTTGACAGGAATTTTCATGTCATAATTTGAAGAAAATTCAAGAGATGACTATTAATTTTAGATTGTTGTGCAAAAAAAAGCTTATTTTAAAATAGATAAAGAGATGGTTAGGATAAATGCTGTAAGCTTTGTTAATAAGCAGCAAGAGTTTAAACAAAGGTTTAAAATGAGCGAGTGAATGGATGTTGTAAATCGGGTATTTAGTCGGTTGTCCTCGGGATAGAAAAAACATCTGTCTGGTTCAATTTCACAGGTAAATTTGATATTATGAAGTTTAAAATTTCTTGGGCAAAACATAAAGATTCTTCAACTACAAATTCGTTAACTTGTAATAGGATGTAGAAACTTGGCTAATTTGTACGTATGAGATCCAGGATATAACAGGCCCGAGAAAAAGATTGTTAATACGTACTTTAAGTAAGACGTACATAAAACTTGGGCGGGAACTAGAGGGGTGAATTTCATTAAAGGTATTGTCAGAAATGACAATGTTTTTCTTAAACTTGTTCAAACACTTTATAACTTTTCGCAATTATTGGTTTCTCTCAGTAAATGTCAAGTGTTATACATTTTGTTTTGTCATTGAGATTGCATTACATTTTATTAGTTTAGTCATAGTTGTATAAAATAACAACACCTGTGTCTTTGTCAGATGTGTAATAACTCACTAGAATAGCGGTTTTTATTTATTTTTTTGGTTCGAGGGCTTCCTTCAGTTCGGAAAAGGTTGCTATTTATATTACCAAAAAAAAACTCCATTGTGGAGTCGACATTAAATTTTTGGTATCTATTTTTTATTGTAAAAGTTAAAATGATTATTTTCACGAGCCGCACTTTAACAAAGGCTGTATGTAAATATAAACAGGAATATATGATTCCATCATCCTTGTATAAAATATAACTTTCTATGTCAGCGAAATATAGGTTTTTTTTAAAGTTATGAACGCATTATATTGAACACCCTGGATGTTCATTTCTTTGAGTTCTTTAAGAATCACCTTATTCGTTTCTTTACCCACGAATTACTTGTGAGACGCAAGACTGTATATATGTAACCATTTTATCATGATTGTATACTCTTATGAGTTATTTTTCTTTCCTGAAAACTCGTTTCACGGTTTTAACATGTGATAGAAAGTTGCTGGAGAACTAACTCGTTGATCATTTTCTAAAAGTGGGAAATTCAGCAGAGCCGCCTGTTGCACTGCTTCAAAATCGTCTGACATTCGATCGTCGGGAGTTAACAAACAAGAAAAGAATGAAAAATCAGTTATTATTTCAGTGGGTTGGTTCGCTGCCTCGAATATGTGTTATGTATAGACACACACATATATACGTTATGCTACCTTTACAGATTATATATAAAATAACGATCCTTTTGGTAAGTTCAATGGTTCGCGATTTGTAGAGGAAATATAACGGGTTTTGCAGCAGAACAAACTAATTGCGCAAGTGTTGTCACGCATTTACAAAATGTATCTATGTGTTTATGAGAACAGCTGTATAAAAACATTGTCTGGGTGCATGCAAGATATCACTCAGACGTTCGGGCGCCACCGTCTTCTGATCCTTCGCGTCTATATATACATCATTATGAAGAAAAAGGGAGTGTTCCATGGTCTTTCACGCCTAAGAATCAAAGGTATGCTACATAACATTTAAAATAATAGGTTTGTGTTTGTAATTTGCATATTTTCAATAATTCCACGCACATCACAAAACTGCAAACGAATTGAGTGGGTCGCACTTAATAAGTTTTGAATATGCATAACTGAAACTTCTACCATTACGAGAGAAAACTCGTGATATTTTACCATATCTTAAAAGTCAGATGGCGTTAAAATTGCCCTGTTGACGAAAAAGAAAACGTACCTTACAATAGTCATATTCTGTTCACCATTCGAATGAAAAGTTTTAAATATGAACTCAAAGTATAATATTACTGTTTTTAATGAATATGTTCTGAACATAGGATCTCTTCCTCAACCAGAGGCGCCTCAGTGGCAAGGATCAAACGTAAAAAATCCGGGATTTATCCGAGTTTGGTAAACCTTCTACAGGATGTAGCATACGATAAGATGTAATGATAACAATTTAGTTTCCAAATCAGAGAAAAAATGACCGAGTTATGACTGGCCACATCAGCAGTAGAAATACTTGTTTTTGTGTAACTGAAGGGTCCGTTGCACGAGCCTTCTTCTTTCTCGTCCGTTGTTGCAGTTTTCAGACTAGAGCCCAATAGATCTTCAGCGGATAGCTTCAAGCCCCACTGAATGTGACTGGAATTTTGTTACTCTTCAGCATGTCATCATCAATCACCATTATTCTCTCCATTGCCTGCATGTGCAAGGTTCCGAGATGTTCGACTCGCAACCTGTGCAGTCGCTGTGGACGCGATTACTATGGACTTTTTAACAACCATTGTTGATTCAGATCCATTTATCAAGCTCAAAGATGCTGTGGCAGCACTCGAAAATAGATAAGGACAGTAGTGACAGTAGTAGTAGTAGTAGTAGTAGTAGTTGCCTTCTAACAGAACAGAAGATCAAGAACACGATCTCCAGCCTCAAACGGACAATGAAGAAAGGTCGCATAATTTGAGTATCAAAAAAGGATAATTCTTGTGTATGTCGATTAGATGGGTTGAATATTTGGATACAACGGGTTCCGAACTTTCCAACGGTGTATGCAACACTTCCAAGAAATAAATACAGGAATTTCTTGTTATTCACCCTTCCACCCAAAAACACTACTTCGCCTCTGGTTGTGGGAGAGATATGGTGTTAATTTTAAAATTAGTTTTTTAACTGAAAAATACACCTGAGCTAAAAATAAATGAATAATATAAACTTGAATATATCACTAACTATAGTCCTAAATGAACGACAACAAAAAGAGCCTGATAACCTCAATGGCACAACACCAATAAACAGCAGAGATAAACGCGCACGCTCTGTACGGTCTAAAGCAAACTAAACCGGATGCAGAAATGAAGGGCACCAGTGGTATTAAATTCGCACCGGATTCAAAGTTTTGTTAAGAAACAATGAATTTATTGAATTTCTTTTTATTATTTAAAGTAACATGAATGATTTTTCTTATTTCTTCATAATAATTGATTTAAAATCATTTATGTGCACTAAGCAGTGTTGAAATCCCTTCTTATTTTCTTGGGCATCGTACAATTATGAAATTTTATCATCGCACAAATAAGTTTCACAACTGCACGTTAATTATGAGTTAACGCTAGTATAGTTCAGTGTTGCAAATTAATAATTACTCGTTCAGCCAATAGGTTTTTAGGCACAACTCCTTGTGCGTTCGCGTTGAAGTTTTATGAATGATACATAGTATATGTTAAAGAAACCATATTTTGTTCGAAATAGTATTAGACTTTTAATATATTGTTACGTCTCCGTTCGTTAGTTGATTTTCCGTAACTTCGTTCCCACGAAACTTTAGCGACATAAGTTCCTTTCTTAATAAAACTGGTTTATTCTTTCTGAATATAACTTTACCGATACACTTATTTTCAACAGTCGCGCTATAACAACGAACGTGCTCAACTTCAACAATACTCTCTGACTGCAGTTCAATTACTCACTACACTGTTCCCGTCATATTGTGACCGTCTTATATATATACAAGACT